GCTAAGGTTTTGAATAATGTCTCTTTTGACATTTTAAACTCGAAGTGGGCTGAACCTCAGATCAACACGCATAGGCGTTATGTGGCAGAGAGCCGCACACGTGTACAAATCAACTGTGTCTACCTAAAAAATTGAACCTGGAAGTAAAGGTAATAGAGAAGCAAAGGTACAGGGGCTCAGAAACGAGGAGCCGTATCCTCTCTTGTCTTTATGTGTCTTGCCTGCAGGTTGGGTGGAATGGGCGGGTGGCGGAGAGGGGAAATTTGAGGATCTACTCTAATTTAGCCTGATGCTAAGTAATATTCTCTGTGGCTATTCTCTCTCCCCCGTCACTCCCATGTTCCGCATTTTACATAAGGGGATACTGAGTCACAAAGAAGTCAAGTACTTTACCTAAGGTTATTTATTAGTAAGTGGCAGAACCATAATTCAAGCACAGCTCTTTTTTATTCCCAACCCTGAACTCTTACAACTCTACTAGATTAGTTTGCTCTTCTTATCTCTTCCTCTTCCCCCAGCATGTAATATTACAACGAGGTCACTTTTTAAATGATTGGTAGTATAAGGTTGGCTAGACCTATTTTTTTCATGCCATTTTTTGGGGGGGTAGGGGGAGGGGGATTGTTCTAGACACCAGTCCTTCCCTTCCCTTCATCCTTCCTCCAAATGCTTGTTAAGTATAGACAGTGCATCAGGCCGTGGGGATAAAAGGACTGGCTGTTGGGCATTGCCACTCAAAGTGTGATATGCAGAATCTTGTTGGTCCCTGTATAGGGTTCTCCAGAGGAACAGACCAATAGGATGTGTGGGTTTGTAAAGAGACTTCTTATAAATAATTGGCTCACGTGCTTGAGCTGGTCGAGTTCTGAGATCTGCAGGGTGCGTTGGCAAGCTGGAGATACGGCTAGCCAGTGGTGCAGTTCCAGTCTGAAGGCTGGCAGGCTCTAGACCCAGGAAGAGTCCCCATTTGAAGGTCATCACGCAGGAGGAAGTCTCTGTTATTCTGAGGGGCGTCGGCCTTCTTGTTCTGTCCATGCCTTTGACTGCTTGGATGCGGCCCACCCACAGGTGCAGGTTCAGTCTGCTCCACTCAGTGTACTGAGTTGAATGTTCATCTCTTCCCACAACACTCAGAAAAATGTTTCATCAAATACCTGGGCACCCTATGGTCCAGTCAAGTTGACACGTAAGACAAATTGTCAGTCTGTAGACGTACTGTTCTGTGACAAGATCAGTATGGAAGTTAAGAGTAGGCATTTGTAAACTTCTAGAGCAATTGGATTTTGTGGCAGCATCAAGCACGTGATTGGTGGAATTTTCTTGATGAATAGGGTATAGACCATTTGAAATCAAGTGATGAATTGCATGTGGGGCAAGCTATGTAATAGGCTTCGTGTATTTAGGGCCACATTTTTATCCAGGGTGGATTGTCGGGGGAACTGGTTCTTCTAGGTTGGGAAATGCACACAGTAGTTTACAGAGGCCACAAAATCCCACATGATGGGCTTTGTAGTGATGACCTGTACACAAAGCTAGGGGAGTGTTTCTGGGAGAGACCAGAGCCTGTAAGATGCAGCACAGAAGTGCAGGCCGCTTCTCAAAGGGCCAGGCTTTCGCTGTCCTAGCCCTCCCCTCCCACCCCACAGAGGGTCAGGAAAAGCCAGAATGAAGAGAGCGGGAGCCAGAGACATGAGTGTTCCCGGAACAGATGCAGGAGGCAGGATGAGTAAAGCCAGAGTGAGCCCTGGCCGCGGATGGCCGGACAGCGGGCCCACTGGATCATGGCCTGGCCATCAGCTTTGGGACCAGTCGGCCAAGTCAGACACACAGGGTCCATCTGCTCAACAAAGCTGTGCGGATCGAGCCAGGAGGGGCGCGGGGCCCATTTCCCTCTCAGAAGCAGAAGCTGGCTGAGGAAGAGGAAGAGAAAGGGGGCTAGCTCATGATAGTGTGTCTATAAAACTATAAAACTAACCAGAAATTGTGTATTTTTTCCATTTATTGAGCAGTTCTTCTGTGCCAAGACACTGGGCACAGCATGAACATGGTCTTTTCTAACATCAGGCCCCCTGGTTGAGGCCTGGCATTTGTTATTTTGTGTCTTCACTGGTGACGAATCTGTAGTTTTAAAGTGGAGCAAACACCTCTCTTTGAGGACAAAGTTTGGTTAAAACCATTTGGAGGGGAAATAAATGGACACAGGATGTTGACTGCATTTCTTTCCTCACTTCCCTGGAATCGTAATTTGCTTGGGGATTATGTAATTGGGCCTTTATTTATAAGCACGTAATCAAAGAATCATAAACGTGTAATATGTGGGGCTTTTGGGAGAAAAGCTAGAAGTGATCAGGCCACCACGGGAAGCCTGCCTGCCCCTCCAGTTTGCCTCTCGATGAACTCTGACTTGCCTAAGGCTGAAAGGAAAAAAGTTCAGAGATGCTACACATCAAAGAGAGTCACAGACTGATGCTGCTTGCTCCCCTGTACCACTCAGAGAACAGCCCTGTGTTCAGAACATTTACAGCTTCTAATACCTTAATTTACATCATCAACTCATCTTACCCATAATATCACCTATTGCTCCCTGCGGCCCTCACCACCCCAAAAAGGGGTCTCAGGAACTAATTTATACCAAGTGCCTCCCAATGAGAAGCAAAGTGCTTGGTGTTTTGTATTTCAGTATCTTCCTTAAGATTCCCATCACCCTTGCAAAGTTAATATTTTTGCTCCCATTGCAGAGATGGAAAAATCAAAGCTCAGGATATTTGAGTAATCCCTCCAAAGAACAAATGTATAATGCCTTTTGTTGTAAATTCTCTGGAGCGTCTGGGACCCTGGTGGGCTTCCACGGCTTCCTGAGTTCCTTCCCAAACATTCCAAGACCTTTCATAAGAAGGAAGACCCCTTGGGCCCCAGAACATCTGCCCCTCTAAGTCGGTGCATCAATGCAGGAGCTTGGCCGCAGGCAGTCGCAGAGAAGTATTTCCAGCCAGGCTTCACCACGATGGGAACACGGCTGAAGCTCTTGAGAGTCTCACTTTCCCCATCCATAGTGGGGATACCGATTGCCCTCTGCTTGTGTTGTGATAACCTAAGGCATTAGCAGCATGAACTGCCTGGCGCTGCACAGAGACATAGCAGGCAGTACACAAAGCGTAACTCTGCGCACTACCAGGAGCCAGATGCTCATCTTCTCCCACCCCTGCTCCAGGGGTTGCTGGCTGTTGAGAAAACATGATAGCTGTTAGCTGCCTGTTCTTTCTCATTCTCAGTGGGACTAATTTGGTTTTACCAAACAGGAAGACAGGTTTCAAACACCTGGGTCAGAGCTTGTAATTGGCCAGCAGGGTGACAAGGCAACCCTAATCAACCTGCGATTTCAGGTGCCCACACACTCGGCCCAGGCCTTTGATCTGTGGTCCCGGGCAGTGGAATGTGGTGAGTCATATTTGCCACACTGATAGGAGAGGAACGGGAGCTCAGGCTTTTAAAAACCCTGAGGTGGTTAAGAGGGGGAAAAAAGAGCTGTGTTTGTGAAGGTGCAGAGACACATCAAAAAGGCCTGGGTAGAGGTGGACACGGTATTTGCAGCCCAGGTAAAACCCACAGGGAGTAATTCATCACATTCTTTGATCCTCAAGTTTTGTGAGTCACAGAGACTCTCTGGGACAGTTTTGGAAGCTCGGTAGGGTCTGGGCAGGAAGGAGAAAAACTCGGAGTATGGAAAAAGAAGAGTGGTTTATTTGGGCATGTGGCTGAGATAGGGTCATTTTCTAAAGCCATGATTTTTGCTGGGTCACCTCTAAGGCAGCCATGTTGTAGCTGGACCCCAGGATCTCTGCAGCATGGGGACAGAGAGGAGTGACAGCACTGGGTGTGTCTTATGTCACTGTGGCTCCTCAACCGTAAGCATGCATTGAGCACCTACTGTATACAAGGCAGTATGCTAAGGATCCTTGAGAAATGAGCTTTTTATGTTAATAAAATCCTTTTAAAAATTGTGGCTCTCTACATGACCTATTGCAAAACTGTATTTAAGCAGAGTGGCTAGGCTCAAGCATAAGACAGGCCTGGGTTTGAATTCTGACACCACTGTGTTCTGGTTGTGTGACTTTGAGAGAGCTACTTATTCTGCCTGTGTGTGGTTGGTAAATGGAGTGTTGCTGGCACTTAGTGTAATGATAACTGTTTTTCTGGGGAAACATTGGGATTGATTGCACTCCTGTTTTTTCCTTTCTTGTTGCCCTTAATTATTGTTTTGCTCTTGGCATGGATGCAAGCATCCCGCCTTCCAGCATTTATCAGATATTATGATATGTTATCAGAAAATAAGACCTGGTTTTGTCCTCACCGAACTGCCAATCTTCATAGGAAACATTTGTTAAAACAATTTACCAAAGACAGTATGACAGGTATATTTTTCATAATGCTATGGACAAAATATTGTTGGAATATGTGGAAAGACATTTTGACTGCAAATTGAAAAAGTCTTCCCCTGGAAGGTGATGTTCCTGAAACAGGGTTTTTATGGATGAATAGGAGTTCACATAGGAGGCCCTAAATAAGTTAGTCATTACAATTTCTTCATTTTACAGCTCCTCTTCCTTTTTAGTCTTTTCCACTTCCTTCTACTCCTCCCCTCCCTTCCCTCCATTCTTCCTCTCTCTCTTTCTGCTATTCCTTCATATTCCCATTTTATTGATAACAAGAATGTCTACCTAGAAATATGCCAAGTAGGGAAAAGAAGCCAGTGCATTTTATTAGGAAAAATCACATCATGGTTGTCTTCTCTAAACCGCATGTTAGTTTTTATCACCATAGCGAGTCATTCTGTTCTCAGCTCTGTTCCCAGTTCAGTTTGGAGACATTTATTTGCAGCTCACTTTTCCATTTACTTCCCTTATAAATGAAATGATGAAAGGAGCCTCCTCTGGGGTTTGTGGAGGGGCGCACGGGGTGTGTCCTTGCACGCTAACTCTCCCCTGGTCTGCTCCCTGCAGATGGGAAGCCCGTGTCTCTGTCTCCGCTGGAGTCCCAGGCGCACAGCCCGCAGTACACCGCGTCCAGCCAGCGGGAGCGGGAGAGCCTGGAGGTGCGCGTGCGTGAGGTGGAGGAGGAGAACCGCGCGCTCCGCCGGCAGCTCAGCCTGGCGCAGGGCCGGGCCCCAGCCCACCGCCGCGGCAACCACTCCAAGACCTACTCCATGGAGGAGGGGACGGGGGACAGCGAGAACCTTCGCGCCGGCATCGTGGCGGGCAACAGCTCCGAGTGTGGGCAGCAGCCGGTCGTGGAGAAGTGCGAGGTACGGAGCACTCTGGAGCCTTGAGGGTCAGCCTCCCAGATTCAGTCCCCACGCCATCAGATACCACCGGAAGCCCTGCCAGGTGCCAGGGAAGAGCTGGCATTCGTGACTCAGGCCTCAGTGTGCATCAGGCTTGACCTAACTTTGCAGTAGCCTGGAGGGTCATTTAGCCTCTCTGAGCCTCAGTTTTGCCATCTGAAAAATGGGAGTGGGGATAAGAAGACCTACACCATAGAGATGTTAGGAGTAACCCGATGGAACCTACTGCTTGTTCTTTGTTCATTTTTTGACATGCTCAGGGTTTCTGCACCTAGTTGTCACCCTGGGCACCCTGATACAGTGTGAATGGCATACCAGAGGTTGCAGCCCTATTGGGCAGTTGCATGGGCCTCTTTTTCACGTTATGAACAGCTCCTGCAATTCAGAACCAGGGATTTGTTGCTTATCTAAGGCAGTGATTTGAACCTATAAAACTTAATATCATTTCCCCCTTTTTTAGAGTATTCTTTCTTCCTTAGTAATTCTAGGGAAATTTGGAAAACTTAGCCACTTCCTCTCCTGACCACCCCTCACCACCTTATTTGTGTATGCAGGCTTGTGCGTACACTGAATACACACACCACACACATGTGCTCATTTTCTGCTTCTCCCAGTTCCTGTGAACAGGAATTAGAACATCCATGTTAAGAGCAAGGCCTCCTGAGACACAGACAAGCCTAAGTTCGTATCCCAGCTCTGGTGGTTTCTGCTCTGAGGGCTTGAGCAAGTAACCTAATGACCTAACCTTTCTGAACTTGAGGTTTCTCATCAATAAGGTTGAGAAAATAAGGTTGAGGATTAAATGGGATGGACCTATAAAGCCACAAATAATGCCTGGTGCATATTATGTTTTTATTATTGGTATTCTTTATTATTTTTAATTAGAGACAGATATTGCCTGCTGTTTTCTTTATTTCACTTCCTGGCCACATTCTCAGAATGTTAGACTTCAGGTTTCCTAAGAGAAAACAGTTTGCAAGCTGTAATACGCTGTTCACACAAATGAGGTTATTACTAATATTGGTGATTCGATACAGTCTGTCATAAGGGAATGTAGGGCTTACTGAGTGAGGTGGACTTAGTTCAATGGAAGGTTAGTGGTAAGTGAGGAGAACTTAGAGTAGAATGGTAAGCAAGAGCCTTGGGATGGTAGGATTTCTTTCAGTTTCTCAAGCCCAATTGACATGTGGAATAGTGGAGGGATGGAGAAAGACTGATTGAGGATATCCAGTGGGGAATATTATATGTGAGAAGGAAGTATGTAAGAAGTGCTACAAATTTCACAGTCAGACCCTCTTAGAACACATTGGTAGAACTCTGCTGTGGAGCTCTGTTTAGCTGTCACCTAGCTGCAGGGGAGCCTGGAAAAGATACATTTTGTTCAAGGAAGTCATGTTCTCTAATATTTTAGAGTTTTGCCACTTAAAGAAAAAGATATGACAGTTACAGTCAACATTCTCTGTCACATGGGTGGTTCCAAACTTGGTTGGGCATTAGGATTGCATATCAAAAATGTATATTCGGGAGACCCACCCTACACCTACTAATTGAGAATCTCTGGGAGGAGGCCCCAAGAAAATGAGTATTAAAAAGTCTATCCCCCCCCCACCCAAAAAAAGTCTATCCCAGGTGATTCTGAAATGTTGGGGACTGCTCGGAAACCAGTGCTTTCAGGCACAATATAAATCAGCGGTGGGTTCTCTCTATCCCTGTGCTCTTTGAGAGATAAAGTAGCATTGTAGGAATTCGGACCTTGAGCTTGTTGATTCTCACTATAACTTACTTTTTAATCTTTTTGACTTACACCTGAGAATTAGGCTTTAATCAATTTGCTTTTCTGCTCTTTGTGTCTTAATTATGCTACTTCTTAAACCCTTAAAAGTTATCCTTACCAGAATTTGTCTGTGAGGAACCTCTGATCAGGTTCAAAGCTTCCATAGATGAATTTGAAAGTCTTGACCTGCTGGCCTGCTCTGGGTGTACATTTTACCTTGAGATGGCTGGCTGCATACCCATTAACAGTTTATTTCCTCTGTCTCCAGCCCTTGGTGTCTTGAAAGATTTCAGTGAAAAAGACAAGAAATGTCAGTCAGTGGAGCCAAAACAGGAGCCTCTCCTCACGGTGACACTCTGGGTCACAAGTGGGGAAGCTGGTCCTGACGCCCTGTCAGAGGACAGAGCCTTGTAACCAAGGACGTTGCCACCATCTCATTGTGCTAGAACTTCACGGGGTATGACAAGTTCTGTAATGATACCCAGGCTGTCAGCTGAGATATCTGCTGATAGAAGCAATAGGCCCGCATCAGCCTGTTCCCTCTTATCATCTTCTAATTATGTGGCCTTCAGATAGCTGCCTATTTTATTCTTGCCTATCTCTGTTGTCAGGGCAATGCTGCGTCATAGAGCGACTGGTTTCTGTGTGCCTCGGAACTTGGAGCAGAATGATCCTCTTTGATCTTCCCTGTACGGCTATGTGTATTTTTCTTGCATTTTCTGGTTCTGGTCTATTCCAGGAGGCAGAATACCATCTCATGGTACAGCAGAAAAATCACCAGACCTGGAGTCTGAGGTCCTAACCAGAAAGGTCTGCTCACTAGTCACTGCTAGTCATGTGACCTTGGACCATTCAGTTACCCTCTTCTAGTTGATTTCATCACTTCAAAATGAGAAGATGAATATGTTCTTTCCGGTTCATGTATGAGGATAAAATCACATAGTGAATGGGAACCTAACTTTGTATGGTGGTCACATGTACTTACTATGGATATTCCTGTTGCTGCCTAACAAATCACCTAAAATGTGATGCCATGAAACAATAATGACCACATATCAGCTCTCCAGGTTTCTATGGCTCAGGGATTTGGGAAGGGCTTAGCTGAGTGGTTTTGGTTTGGGGACCCTCAGAGAGTTGTCAGTTTGTGACTGGGACAGTGGGAGTTGGCCCAGTATCTCTCTCTCTTGTTGTAGACTCTGGGACTCTCCATGTCTGTCTCTGGGGCCAGTTTGGGCTCCCCCACAGCACGGGGGCTCCAAGGCAGTCAGTTGCTTCCATGGCAGCTGAAGGCTATAAGTACCAGTGTTCCAGTGAGCAGGGCAGAATGGAAACACTTTTTGTGACCTAGTCACAGAGTCCACATAGTGTCACTTCTGGTGATAGTCTGGTCTTCTAGTTGAAAAAGTCACAAAAAGCCCACTAGTTTCCAGGGGGAAGGAGCATACCCCTCCTCTCTCAATGGAACAAATGTACAAGTAGTTGTGGGTATACTTTAAAATGGCAACAATTAATAGGGTTATTCTGGAAAGTTGGGTAAATGGGACTCTGATGTCAGAACACCCTTAAGGAAATATCTCTCTCCTTCTATTCTTTGCTCTGAATTCATTTCTTAGTAGTAAGATAATAGTAATGAAAGTTAACATTTACTCAGCCTTTAAAGTATGCTAGGCACTATTATATGTGAGAAGGAAGTATGTAAGAAGTGCTACAAATTTCACAGTCAGACCCTCTTAGAACACATTGGTAGAACTCTGCTGTGGAGCTCTGTTTAGCTGTCACCTAGCTGCAGGGGAGCCTGGAAAAGATACATTTTGTTCAAGGAAGTCATGTTCTCTAATATTTTAGAGTTTTGCCACTTAAAGAAAAAGATATGACAGTTACAGTCAACATTCTCTGTCACATGGGTGGTTCCAAACTTGGTTGGGCATTAGGATTGCATATCAAAAATGTATATTCGGGAGACCCACCCTACACCTACTAATTGAGAATCTCTGGGAGGAGGCCCCAAGAAAATGAGTATTAAAAAGTCTATCCCCCCCCCACCCAAAAAAAGTCTATCCCAGGTGATTCTGAAATGTTGGGGACTGCTCGGAAACCAGTGCTTTCAGGCACAATATAAATCAGCGGTGGGTTCTCTCTATCCCTGTGCTCTTTGAGAGATAAAGTAGCATTGTAGGAATTCGGACCTTGAGCTTGTTGATTCTCACTATAACTTACTTTTTAATCTTTTTGACTTACACCTGAGAATTAGGCTTTAATCAATTTGCTTTTCTGCTCTTTGTGTCTTAATTATGCTACTTCTTAAACCCTTAAAAGTTATCCTTACCAGAATTTGTCTGTGAGGAACCTCTGATCAGGTTCAAAGCTTCCATAGATGAATTTGAAAGTCTTGACCTGCTGGCCTGCTCTGGGTGTACATTTTACCTTGAGATGGCTGGCTGCATACCCATTAACAGTTTATTTCCTCTGTCTCCAGCCCTTGGTGTCTTGAAAGATTTCAGTGAAAAAGACAAGAAATGTCAGTCAGTGGAGCCAAAACAGGAGCCTCTCCTCACGGTGACACTCTGGGTCACAAGTGGGGAAGCTGGTCCTGACGCCCTGTCAGAGGACAGAGCCTTGTAACCAAGGACGTTGCCACCATCTCATTGTGCTAGAACTTCACGGGGTATGACAAGTTCTGTAATGATACCCAGGCTGTCAGCTGAGATATCTGCTGATAGAAGCAATAGGCCCGCATCAGCCTGTTCCCTCTTATCATCTTCTAATTATGTGGCCTTCAGATAGCTGCCTATTTTATTCTTGCCTATCTCTGTTGTCAGGGCAATGCTGCGTCATAGAGCGACTGGTTTCTGTGTGCCTCGGAACTTGGAGCAGAATGATCCTCTTTGATCTTCCCTGTACGGCTATGTGTATTTTTCTTGCATTTTCTGGTTCTGGTCTATTCCAGGAGGCAGAATACCATCTCATGGTACAGCAGAAAAATCACCAGACCTGGAGTCTGAGGTCCTAACCAGAAAGGTCTGCTCACTAGTCACTGCTAGTCATGTGACCTTGGACCATTCAGTTACCCTCTTCTAGTTGATTTCATCACTTCAAAATGAGAAGATGAATATGTTCTTTCCGGTTCATGTATGAGGATAAAATCACATAGTGAATGGGAACCTAACTTTGTATGGTGGTCACATGT